TGTTCCTCCCTCCCTTCCCCTCTCTCCCTCCCTTTTTCTCCTTCCTTCCTTCTTTCCTCTCTCCTCTTCCTTCTCCTCCCTCCCTCCTTCCTTTCCTCCTCTTCTTCCTTTCATTGTCCTGTCCCATCTCCCGTCCTTCTCCTCTCTCCCTTCTTTTCCTCCCTTTTTCCTTCCTTCTCATCCTCCCTTCCTTCCTCCCTCTCCCTCCTTCCCTTTTCTCTTCCTCCCTTCTCCTCTCCCCCTTCTTCCCTTTCCTTTCCTCCCTCCCTCCTCTCTCTTTTTCTCTCCTTTCTCCCTCCTTCCTCTCCACCTGATGACTGAGAAAGCAACATTTGGCCTTTCTGCTGATCTTCAAACATCTTGGGATCTGAATTTGAAGGATTATATCGAAAAAAAAACCTGTGCAGTGTGGCAGCTTGGGTGTGTGTGTGTGTGAGAAGCAGCTCTAACCACTACACCACAGCAGGTGCAAGCAAAGGTAAGGAAGCAACCCACGCACAAGGATGACATCCTCCTGAAATAAGTCAAAAGTCTCCACTGGCCCCAGGCGAAATCAGCATATTTTGGCCAACCAAGCTGTGAGCCAATGAAATATCCCAACCGTGACATATTTTGGACATATTTCGCGCTGCGTTGTTGTATGTCCTGGAGCCCAAAGAGCTGATTATTTTCCGAGCCGCCGTAACCTCGCAAAGAGCCATTTGCAACCGAACAGACGCGATCGTCGACATCGGCAGAAGAGGGCTCGGTGGAGACATCCGCTTTGGCCTATATACGAGGCCAGGAAATCCCGCCAGGGGTCGGCTCTCACCTGTGAGCGTGCCGTCTGCCATCAGGTCTTGCACCCTGTTGATGGCATCCTGTGAAGGGAAAAACCAAGCAGGTAAACTGCACCTCTAGAACTGCCTGGCTCAGTTCTGCAACCCAACAGGGATATACAGGGGTGGGGATTCTACCTGGTCGGACCAATTCTATAGAACCGGTTGTTACGATTCTGCACAGTTCAGAGAACCGACAAATCGTGCCAGTGGCTGCCCCCTCCCGTCTCCACTGGCTCCTTACTGGCATGCAGGCCATCCAACTTGCCTGCGTTTGGTAAGTTGCTATTTTCCCTATTTTCCCCCCGAACCATCAGCTGTTCTGCTGGACATCATCGCGTTCCTTGCTTTCTAGCTAATCTTAAAAGCAGAGCCGAACCTTCCTCAGGGCTGAAGCTTCTATTTTTCAGGGCAGACTCAGGCAGCAGATTGCAGATAGATAGATCTCTAAGTGAATCTGTGATTCTGTGAGCAACTCAATCTGCCTGATTTGGGGGTCAAAGTTGCTTTCTTTTTTTTATATATAAAAAATTCAATATTTACAGAAATATTTATATTTATATACAAGTCACGCCCACCCAGTCACATGACCAAGCCATGCCCAGTCAGCAAGCCATGCCCACCAGGCCACAACCACAAATTAGGCCACGCCCACAGAACTATTTGTTGAGAAATTTGAATCCCACCCGAGAATGTATCTACTGAACAAAACTCTGCATCGGCGACAGGAAGAGAATCCGGCCAGGGATTACAGAGTCATTAAAAGACACACACACAAAAGTAGGCATTGCAGACTGAACAGGTAGTCCTTGACATATGACCACAAGGAAGCCCAAAATGTCCGTTGCTAAGTGGGACAGTTCTTAGGTGAGTTTTTGCCTCATTTTACGACCTTTCTTGCCATCCTTACTAAGCGAATGGCCGCAGTTGTTCAGTTAGAAACGCAAGCGTGAAAAGTGGTCACAAGTCAGGTTTTTTTTCCCCTCAAGTGTCATCATAGCTTCGAACGGTCAGTAAACAAAGTGGCCGTAAGTCGAGGACTACCCGAATTTGGTCACCGGGCATCCACCCGTGGGGGACTTGACCGTCGCTAATGGAAAGAGGGACACAGACTCGCGGACAATCGGCAACGCCCAGCTCGCAAACACACCTACCTGTGTTCGGAGGCCCAGGTGAGAAGCCAGGTCTTCCAAAAGGACCACTTTTGCATTCTAGGTGGAAGGGACAAGTTTGGAAATTATTATTTCGTTCCTTCGTTCATTTTAAATAATTGAGTGGGGAGGAATTTCTTGACAGCGAGAACCATTAATCAGCGCCAGCCAGAGGGGTGAGTTGCTCCATCACGGGAGGTTTTCATAAAAAGATTGGGCCAACCGTTTGTCCAGGATGGTATCAAGACTCCTGCCTTGGGGTGGGCTGGAAGGCCTCAAAGGTCCCTTCCAGGCTTATGAGTCTATAATTCTATAGCCACCCCTCTTAATTGAGGAGGAGGGGGAGGAGGAGGAGAAAAAGGAGAAGGAGGAGGAAGAAGGGAAGAGGAAGACGAAGAGGAGGAGGAGGAAGAGAAGAAGAGAAGAGGAGGAGGAGGAGGAGGAAGAGGAGAGGAAGAAGAGGAGGAGGAGGAAGAGGAGGAGGAGGAGGAAGAGAAGGAGAAGAAGATGATAAAGAGGAGGAGAGGAGGAGGAAGAGGAGGAGAGGAGGAAGAGGAGGAGAGGAAGAAGAGAAGAGGAAGAGGAGGAGGAGGAGGAAGAGGAGACGAAGGAGGAAGAGGAAGAGAAGGAAAGGAAGAAGACGAAGAGGAAGAGGAAGAGAAGAAGAGGAAGAAGAGAAGAGGAAGAGGAGGAGGAGGAGGAGGAAGAGGAGGAGGAGGAGGAAGAGAAGGAGAGGAAGAAAACGAAGAGGAGGAGAAGAGAAGAGGAAGAGGAAGAGGAGGAGGAAGAGGAGAGGAAGAAGATGAAGAGGAGGAGGAGGAGGAGGAAGAGGAGGAAGAGAAGGAGAAGAAGATGATAAAGAGGAGGAGAGGAGGAGGAAGAGGAGGAGAGGAAGAAGAGAAGAGGAGGAGGAGGAAGAGAAGAAGAGGAAGAGGAGAAGAGGAAGAGAAGGAGGAGGAGGAGGAGGAGGAGAAGAGGAGGAGGAGGAAGAGGAGAGGAAGAAGACGAAGAGGAGGAGGAGGAGGAAGAGGAGGAGGAGGAGGAGGAAGAGGAGAGGAAGAGGAGGAGGAGGAGGAAGAGAAGGAGAAGAAGATGATAAAGAGGAGAGGAGGAGGGAGAGGAGGAGAAAGAGGAGGAGAGGAAGAAGAGAAGAGGAGGAGGAGGAGGAAGAGGAGTCGAAGGAGGAAGAGGAAGAGAAGGAAAGGAAGAAGACGAAGAGGAGGAGGAAGAAAAGAAGAGGAAGAAGAGAAGAGGAAGAGGAGG